TCAACCTAAGATCTCAGGGGATACAGCTCTTCAGGCCCTTGAACATCTAAGGCTATATGAGTTGCAGCAGGTAGATGGACAGCCAGAGATTGTGAGCATTCTTGACAAGCAAGAGACTGTAATCAAAAGAAGGAAGGCTGAGATGCGAAAGCAGAGCGATATCACGTGTTTCTTTAGTTAGACTGGATAGTCCTATAACCTGGTTAGCAACATAGAATGAACTCAGGAATAAGTTATGTTCTTATCCAGGTTTGACTGTATGGAGAGGTGATGCTGAGGATAACGTCAATGGACCCACGATCCCCGCCCGGCGCGCTTCTCGGTGCAGCTGCGGCTATTTCATGGTCGCCTCGCCAAGTGAATGCTATTGCGCTGGAGTGATGCAACAGTGGAAGTGATGCTCAGATATCTCTTTCAGACGCCAATTCTAAGCGCAAATGTGATGGCAGACGTGACGATGAGCAGGTACGCAATGCGAGCTCTTGACCCAAAGCCGCCGTCCGCCGCTGTAGCGTTCCGTCAAATGCAAGCTCCGTCTCCCATCAAAGATGTCATCTATCAAACCGGTTTCGTAGATGATCACACTTCTCTCATTCTACAGCCTTCTCCCTCACAACTATGATGCCACCCCGAGAATCTCCAGTCTCCACGCCTATCCACTATCAACCCAAACATCACTTTCGTCACTCCTTCTAATCTTCAAGCTTCCGCGCTAGGAGAAAGTCTCGGTAGCCGCTTTCGTCCTTCCGAAACCTTGCTTCTTGAGCCTCATCCTCACCACGATCCTCAGACGTGGCCTTGGATTTGTCTGACCACGTACGGCTCTTCAAGATACTTCTCCTCCTCTTCCGTCAAGACGAAACCTCTACCGTCAACCGCCTCATCCATTCTCTCAGTCTTGCTGAACCCAACGATCGGACTACTCACTCGTTTATTCATCCACGCAAGTGCCACCTGGCTCATCGTCCACCCCTTCTTCTCAGCCAGCTCCTGGACCCGTCTGACGATCTCCTGGTCGCCTTCAGGGAGCTCGCCCTTTTCTCCATTCTTTCGGATTGATTGCGTGGCGAGTGGCCGAGCCAAATGGCCACCTAGATAATCAGCACATGTTCACGAACTTGTTGTGATCTTGTTGACTTACGAGCAAGCGGCGACCAAGGAACCAACCCAACACCAGTCTCCCTACAAAACTTATTCATCTCCCTTTCTTCCTCACGATACAGCAACGAATAATGATTCTGCATCGACACAAACTTTGTCCAGCCATTCCTCTCCGCCGCGAACTGCATCTGCGCAAATTGATACCTGGACAAATCTAATTAGCAACCTGAACCATCTTCAAAGAATGCTCGGCAACAAGCAAGGAAGAAACATCTCACATACGTCCACATCGAACTCGCCCCAATATACCTCACCTTCCCACTCCTCACCAGATCATCCAGCGCCCTCATCGTCTCCTCCACAGGCGTATTCACATCAAACCGATGCATCTGCAACACATCGATAAACTCCACCCCAAGCCTCCTCAAACTCCCCTCCACACTCGCGAGAATACTCTTCCTGCTCGACCCGCCTCGATTGACATACTCCTTACTCTGCGGCAAGATCCTATCCCGTCCAACCGTCCAATGCCCCGGCTCTTCGCCAACGAACCCGTAGCATTTCGTCATGAGGACGAGTTTATCTCGCGGTAGCGAGTACTTCTTGATGGCTTTGCCGATGAGTGTCTCCGAGAGGCCGTTGGAGTAGTTGCACGCTGTGTCCCAGGTGTTGATGCCTCGATCGAAGGCCGCTTTGAGGAGGGGGAGGGCTTCGTCTTCGTCTAGGACCCAGTCCATCCATTCACTGCTTCCCAATCCCATGGCACCGAATATGGGCACAGAAACACGCAGGCCGCTATTCCCCAGACGGCGGTATTCGACCTTCGTGTTCGCGATTGAAGCGAGGACGGGATCATCTTTTGTGGAGGACATGGTGAGTTCGTATTTTCGCAAGATAATCAAAGAGTATGAAACGAATTATGAGAATCGACCGGACCTCGAATCTCTCTTCCCATCAATTCTCTAGTCTCAATCAATGCCTACATGCACCTTATATACCCATCCCATAGTCCCTATCAAACCCAGCCAGGCACACACCGTCCAAACCCAAATCCCCCAAACCCTACAACCACAAATTCCTGGATTCACCTTTGATCGGACTTTAGCCCCCCAGACGTATTTACGACTCTTCCTATCAGGCACACTTTCATAGCAGCCAGGGCTCGTAGCTACATGAGGTATGTGTGTTCCTTTGTGCACGTAGGATGAAGGAACATTTGAACTCCGATTCCGAACTCAGCAAGTCGCATTCGCGTCTGCACGGGAGAATCCAACTCCTCCTTTGCGTGCAGCAGCCTTGCAGCTTGGTCGTATACCCTTTCTGTTTGAAACCCCTCGATCGATCTCTGTCTAAAGGTGCTCTAATAAGACGTCAAGCTTTGTAGTGGTATGGTCTGTTTGACACTTCTGAAAGAGAGCTGAACTTTTGAAGAGAAAATTGCATTAAAAGACGGCACGCATGCCACCCACTCGACCCGATTCGCCATTCGTCTCGCATTGGCCGTGAGTCGACTCGTTCGTCTCATCTCATCTATACTGTACACGCGTTCGAAAAGCAAACGCCCTCTGAACGCCGTCGCTATGGTGAACAAAATCCCTCTCGTAAGACGGGATACCCGAGAGAAGCTTTGAGATTAGTTCTCCTTGCGTCGCCCTGCAACTTGATGGCAGAGTGCTTGCAAAAGACTTGGTACTTTCAAGCCTGTTGCGCCTGACCTTGTCGCAGAGCGAGAAGAGCTCGCACATCTGTCACGTACTGCAATCCCTCGAGTAGAGGGATGAGGTGCAAGAGGTCGTTGTCTGTCGGGTCGCTGATCCAACCTTCAATGGGAATCGCATTATCTTTTGCACACGCGTCAGCCTCTAGCAGTCTCGTGTTGTTTGAGTCTGAACTCACCTTCATGAAAGATATAGCTCATGGGGGAATTATCCAAAATCATCACCTTGCTCAAATCCGGTTCCACCTGCGCCAGGTCCTTGATATACGCACCATTTCTAAAGGTGCAATGTTGGCGGTAGTATCGTCCTGAAAAGTACTTCCTCTCTCTTTCGAGCCAATCGATGACCGGGTCGGCGTACTCCTGCACTGAGGCTGTGAAGACTATCAGGTTGTACCATTTGCACACCTTGCGCAAGAAATCGTGGCACCCGGGTCGTTCGTGTACGTAGTATAGGATAGGCACGCCTGGTCCGATCTGAACGCCAGAGCTAGAGACTGGACCACCAAGCCGTACTTCAACCATGTGCCCTGTTGACATTCGTCCCCCTTTAGCCATAGAGTGGATCAGTGTTTCGTCAAGATCGATGATCAAGGTCTTTTTCGGTGTCTCAGAGGAGTATGATAGCGTGTACGAGGGTTGCCGTCGTGGTACCAACGGTCGAGGAGGGGCGGGTGCGCGTGGGTATCGCGTGAGCTTCGTTGTGCCAAGTGGTGCCGAAGGCGACTTCAAAGCAGACGCAACAACTGCCACATCGTCTGGGTTGGTCGCCTTCTTCGCCCTAGAAGTCTTACGTTTCCGCAATGCTTCCTCATTGTGCACCTTGATGCGTATGCTCTTCTTCTTTTCAACGTCGTCACCTTGCGCTGCTGCCAGCGTCTTCGATCGCGTATGCCGCGCAGGGCTGTCCTCAGCTTCGCCATCTGACGATCCCGCTGTAGCTGTCGAGGCGTTGCTATCAACAGATGGCGAGCGCCGGCTGGAGGCCTTCCTCTGCGGTCTAAGCTTTTCTGATCCCTCCTGTTCTCCGGCCACGCCTGCCGCCAGCGCTGTTGACTTCTTCCGACGCCCAAACATGTTCTTGAAGTTCTTCAACGGCAAGATGGCGGAGAAGTGTCCCTGGTCGTCGTAGAAGCAAGCGATCACGTATCGGCCAGGCGCGGTAATGGTGGAGAAGACCACTTTGACACCGTAGAACACAGCCGACGCGATGCGCCTAGGTAGTCGCCAACCTGAGCCAGCCGCCTCTCTTTCTGCGCCAGCGTTCCCGCTGCTCAACAAAGGCGTCTTCTCGTCCACGTATTGCGCCGTGTCCCGTTCATCGTCATCAGCTGCCTGCTTCACGTCCTTATCGCTCACCGAACCCAGCTTTTCATCCAGCGATCCGAAATCGAATGTCGACGTCCCATTTCCCTCGTTCTCGCTGCTGCTGGAGATGGTATCTACGTTGGCGGACGAGCTGGTTCGCGATCGCGGGGGCGAGGGTGGAGGAGTGGTGGTCAGCCTCGAGACAATGTTGAGGCTGTTCATCGCTTTTAGCATTCCATCGGGTGTTCAAAGAGAACGAGCGACGGAAGAAGAGGTATGCGCAGGCGAGACGACGTGGTGGGGGATGTTGCGCAGGATGGGTGAGAATGGAGGCTTCGGGGATTGCGCTGGATCTTCTCACGGTCGCATGTGTGTCCCGCCAACAACTCGTCTCTCCCGAACAAGGCAGTGTACCGCAATACTGTACAGCGAAGGGTGTCGCAGCGGAGGAAGAGGTGTTGTGGTGGTGGGGGTACACGGCGAGGTGGCTGGCTGGCAACAACAGCTCCAGTCTGCGCTGAGCCAGACGTCAGCGCCGCGGTTCAAAGTTCGCCCCGTAGATCCTCCTCCTCACTCACATGCACCACTTCGATCTCTCCGGCACATGACAGGCTAGTCACATTGAACCGCGCCCTGAAGTGAATGTAATCTGGCGGATAGACCATAATCAGGCCTGGAGATCGTCCCCAGACACCCTCCGCGAGCCACGCCTTCGAATCCGCATATCTCGACGAAAGATACTTTTTGACTCACAAGCCCAGGAAGAAATCCTGCGGCCAAAAGCATATTGAGCACAATCTGGACGACGACTTGCCCCCATCGAGCTTTTCTAGGCCACTAGGCCACCACCATCATGCCAGCACCGGCGGTAGGCCAGGCGCCTTCACTCAACACATTCCTCAAGTCCCTGAAAGGCAGCGAAATCGACACCTCCATCGAGCTTCTTATATCACTTCTCAAACGCCGACAGATCAAAAACTCGCGCCCTTGTGCAATCGCAACTGCTAAACTACTACTCCAAGTGGTCGCCGAGCAGCGATGGAAAAGCGCACAAGATCTCATCAAGCGAATCCGCGATGTCGGTCGAAGACTGGTCGCCGCGCAGCCACGGGAGATGGCAGTGGGCAACATCGTCAGGAGAGTGCTTGGCGTTGTTCGCGAAGTCGCTGAGGAAGATCAAGACCAAACCAGCAATGTCGCCTCTGACAGTCTTCCTGGAAGTCCAGCAATAGTCGGCCAAACCCTCCACCGACCAGCTCTGCCCAGCAATATATCTGGATTCAGCCCTTTGAGCCATGGCGCTGCACTCCCTCAAAATGCGCAGACTCAACCACAAAGCGGCACATCTTCGCCTTCGGGAGACGGAAGCGTGGACAGTCCCCCGCGAAGGCCGCCAATGCCCACCGCCGCAGGCTATGCTGGTGCAGCACCTCACACTTCACTCTTTGGCATCTTCCAGCACCCTCAAGGGGCATCACCTATTGGTACGCCACCGATAGGATCAGGAACGGCTTCGCCTATTCCGAAGTCAAAGAAGGACCAGGACGAGCAAAAGGAGAAACTCGACATTAAAGCCGAAGTCATCGATGGCATCAAAGATCTACTGGAAGAACTCGACATCGTCGACAAGCAAATCGCAGAATCTGCTTTAGATCACATCCACAGCAATGAGATCATCCTCACGCATACATCTTCACAGACTGTGCAGGCGTTTCTGACAGCAGCCGCACGAAAGCGGAAGTTTACAGTCATTCACGCCGAGGCATATCCAAACGACCACGAATCGACACACAGCACCATTGTCAACGGTGGTCAGAAGACAGGCGACGATGCAGAGGGAGATGAGAGGTGGAAGCCGCTGACAGCGATGGGCATCAAAGTCATCGTCATCCCCGACTCTGCAGTCTTCGCGCTCATGTCACGCATGAACAAAGTCATCCTCGCACCTCACACTGTCCTCGCAAATGGCAGTCTCATCGCCGCCGCAGGAGCCAGCACCATCGCACAAGCAGCCAAAGTCCACCACGTGCCAGTCGTCGTCTTGAGTGGCGTCTACAAACTCAGTCCCGTCTACCCATTCGACACAGACGAGATGATCGAATATGGTGATCCCGGCAAAGTCATCCCGTACCAAGACGGCGAGTTCATGGACAAAGTCGACGTGGTCAATCCAGTCTACGACTTCGTAGATGCAGAACTGGTCGACTTGTACATCACGAATCTGGGAGGACACGCACCAAGCTATCTCTACAGGATCGTCGCGGATCACTATCGGACCGAAGACATTGACCTGACGTCGAAGAACTAGGAAGCTTCGATTGGACAGGCGTGTCATATCTGTCACTTGGTGAGGCGACGGGGGAGGAGCATCTCTAAGAAGGCTGGTTGATAGTGGCTTTGGGGAAGAGAGGTGGAATTGATGAGACATGCATTGATCGGTTCTGAAAACAAACTCATACCAGCGCCCCCGAGAGAACATCGCAACAAGAAGCTGACGGACATAGACCTGCTAGCTGAACCCAGCAACGCAATCCAAAGAACTACTTTACAATGACCACCACTGCCAATCCTCTCCTCTTCCAATCATCCCTTAAATCCCAATCATCCCCCCAAGATGCTGCTTCCTCCCATTCGTCATCCCCGCCCCCGCCCCCGCCCCACTCCCACCCATCTGCCCCGGCACAGCCCCAGGCACAGCATTCATCTGCGGACTCGGCGTCGAAGGACTATTCTTCGGCTTCCCGCCCCCAAGCAAACTCCCCACAAGCGGCAAGCTCGAAAACAAATCCCCAATCCCGGCTTCCTCGCCTCGTCTCTCCTTCTTCAGTCCCAAACCCCCCAACCCGCCCCCACCACCACCACCAGAAGAAGAAGAAGGCGAGGTGCCAGTGCCAGCAGAAGGCGTCTTCTTCGACTGATCCCCCATCCCGAACAACGAACTCAAAACCGGGAGGTTCCCCAAGAGCCCTCCGATGCCCAGCTCGGCGGCTTCCTCGCCGCGGCGGCGGAGCATGCCTCGAGAACGACCGCCTCCTCCTGCGGCGTTGGCGGCGGCGGCGCCGGGGCCCGAGGCGAAGAGCGAGGTGAAGAGGCCTGGTCCGTCGTGGCAGGTTTTGTGGCCGTCCGGGCCGCGTCGGCCGGTGACGCACATGCCTAGGAGGGCGATGTCTTGGGGGAGGGGGGCGGCGAGGGTGGTGGTGGTGGCGGTTAGGAGGGGGAGGAGGTGTGTGAGGCGCATTGTTGTGGTTGGTGTTGTTGTGTTGCTGGGGGTGTTGTTTGATTCTTGAGGCTTGGGATGTGGTGTGGTAGGTTGGATTGGAGTGTGATCCAAGTACTTCGTTGAAAGAGTGTATTGAAGGTAAGAAATGAGTGTCGATGGTTGGATCTTTGTCGTCGATCGATCAAAAGCGAGCAGAAGGAAGAAGCTGTGGAAGAAGGAGAAAAAGCTGGGCAGACCTCTCTTAACAACACACGTCCCATCTCCCGCACAGGCTCGTACGCGCACCCCTTTCCTTCCCTGTCCTCTTCCTGTAGACTTTTCGTTCGTGCGAATGTAGGTTCACGAGACCCCATGTCCAGCGATAATTGCAAGTTGCCAATTCCGGACGCAGCGATGGGTGGAAGCTGATGCGGCGCAAGGATCATGCAAGCAGTCGCCCTGTCGATGGGAAGCTTATCCAACAACTCTATGCGCAGGTTCCATACCACTGCACGTGTCTTCGTGGGGTGGGCTTGCTCGGGAGATTGAGCAGCTGTGTGCGCCGGCGGAGAAGCCATGTTCGTGGTCAAGTATTCGTGTGCTGTACGAGATGACTATGACGACGGGATCTGGGAGGTACCTGTGTTGGTCGTTGATCCGTATTCTATACACCGGGTCGACAGTACGTGCATCGGTAATAATGGCTGCAGGTGGGGCAGGCGTAGAATTGTCCTGTTGATGAAAGAGCAAAGGTAACTTACATGCTACTTCCACCAACTTTTGTCGAACCTTCTGGTCGTCATTCGGTGACTGATTCTGAGTCGATGAGGGCATGGGAGGCTTTGCTGTCAAATATGGAACCCCTGGATCGGTTTGAAGCCCTGATCAAGGAGCACGCCGACGTCTTGCGGCGATGACGGATCTTCCACCCGCAGCATGGTCCTCGTGACTGACATCTCAGGGAATACCATCCATTCGATTTCGTCATATCTTCTTGTACAGTCTGCCATTTGGGTAAACTCTCAACAATATGTACCTCGCTTCTTTCTCTGGGTTCGAAGGTCAGGATGACGTGCAGAATCGGCCGCTGCGCTGCGATTTGGGCGCCGATGTCGTCTACGAATTGAATGGGATCCATTCTCGCGTGAATGATTACCGAGAGTCCGTACGGGAAATCACTGGTCAGACACTCCTCCGTCTTCTGGACGACCAGACGGTAACGTTGATTGCGAGTGTGTTGCGGCTCTCGCACCCAAGAATCCGGGAGGTCTCCGGTAAGGTGGTCAATGCGACCAATGTCAAGCGTCAATGAGGTGAGGTTCGGTAAGTACTGGAGAGAGATCCGACCCAGGGCTGCAGTAGTCGGTAATTTTTCAGAGTACCTTGATCTGCTGTACTCTTGCAGAGACTGATTGAAAGCGGTGTGTCGGCCCTCAACCCACGCCTGAAAGTACTCTGGACTTCTCGGCTTCACTAACTGTCCAGTGATGTTGACCGCGCATGGAAAATCGAAACTTATCACTCTGATGTGCCTGATAGTTCGCGGCATGCGCCCACCGAGACAATACCCGAAGTGGGAAAGACCCTGGTACATGTTGTCGACGGCAAAAACGTTCTCTCTCCCTTGGAGGTCGTTAATATGTTTACGCAAATCACCGTGGACTTGGCGACAGACGCGCGCGAGAGGTGGTTGTCCAAGGTCGAGAGGGGAGGTGTCGAAAGCCATGACAGGGAATGGTAGCTTGAAATAGTGACCATAGACTTCTAGACGGAGCTCCAACGGCAAGTCCAAGAATCTGAAGCCAGTGTTCGTGCTGGTGGTGGCCATCGCACTGCAGGTATGCTTGTCTCTGTCTCGAATGTAATTGTGATATCGATAGGCTCAGGTCTGCCTGGCGACTGTCGTGTACTCTTGCTATTGGACTCCTCGTTGTGAGATTCGGCGCCAATGTTTAGAGACGTAGCTGTAGCAGTGGATCTCTCTCTCTCTCTCTCTCTCTCTCTCTCTCTCTTATAGTCACAAACCATAGCGGGTAGACTGGTCTGCCATCCCGTTCCTGCGAGTCTGAGCCAAGTCTCACCTGGGGCGACTCGTCTAAGACTGCAGTTTGAGCGAGTTCATCCATCGTTTCTCATACGCGAGACTTTTATGCGGTCTGAGTCTGGTAGTCTTTGGAAGTTTTCAGAACGCATACCCGGCAAGACACGTCCTTCACCCAGCTGGTGCGAGGACAGACCGAGACATGCTCATCCTGAAGAGAAAATCATGTCTTTCAAAGGTTCAAAGCACCTGGGTACCAGTTTCTGCCGATCCTGTCGACCTCGTTGATGAACTTTGGGCTGTCGATTTGTAGGTTGCTGCGAGTCTTGGCGGTCTTTGAATCATGGTCATCCGGGACGTAAAACGGGTTCCTCAACAGGCGGACGTACGCGGTTTGTAGAGCTTGAAAGGCCTATACATCTATCAGTAACTCGCAGCAATCATTGTAGGGATTTCACATTGCTTACCGGCGTCAAGTCAGTACCTCTCAACCCCAGGATGCTGGTCTTGGCAGCTTCTGCATTCGGCGCCATTCGACCTTCCATATCAACCACAATCACAAGTTTGACACCGGTGTTGAGTAGCCAGCCATATAAGGCTATCCGCTCGTCCAGAGCGTGTAGAAGTCCAAAGTCGTGGCCAACAGTTTTGGAAGGCATCCGGGCTTCGAAGATGTCCAAGGATGAGTTGAGCAGCATGCTGTACTCCAGCTTGTCACGGGTTTCTTGCTTGTCCTGGTATGTAGCTGGGAAGAGGGCGATGTGGAGAGGGTTGTTCTGCTTGATGTTACCCTGTCATACGTCTGGTCAGGGAGGTGAACATACGTGACGGCCGATCACGCCAATGGCGGCTATGGAGGGTGATCTATCGACCATGTTGAGCTGTACTTTCTCAAGCTAATCGAGCTCAATATCAAAGCATTCGTCTTCAATGTCACTAGATACGTCTGTTGGATGCTCTCGAATAGGGTGAAGTGAAGGAGCGGTTAAGCTTCCGATAGCCGAGCCAATCAGAGCCAGTATGGTCAGCGTCACCACTCAACTTCGATTGCCACCATTGGATCTTCTGCTACACCTCAACACGCCTCTCCTCTCTTCCGCTTCATCCTCACCACCCTTCCTGTCCTGCAGTCATGTTCGCCTTGAAGCGACAGACGCAGGCTGTGGCGCTGCGCGGTATGGCTGGACCCTTTCGCGCGCGACCGCGACACCGACTGACAAGTTCTCCTCACAGCCAACCCAACGACCGCCCTCCTCCCACTACGAGCCGCGAACGCCGCCTTCATATCGAATTCCACCAAGAAGCCCGCTGAGGCTGTACCGAACCGAGCGATTGGTCCCGGCAATGTACAGGGCAATCCAGGACCACCACCGAGCATGAAGGCAGTTGTGAACAAGGAGAACGTGGAGGTGCCACTCCCAAGTCAAGAGGGCAACAAGAGCGCGGTACAATACGCACTGTAAGGCACCTCAGGCATATGGGAAGATTGTGGAAGCGTGGCTGACGTTTACACAGCACAACCCTCGATATCATCGCCAACTGGGCACGACAGGGTTCTCTCTGGCCCATGACTTTCGGACTGGCTTGCTGCGCCGTCGAAATGATGCACCTTTCCACGCCACGATACGATCAGGATCGCCTCGGTATCATTTTCCGTGCCTCGCCCCGTCAATCCGACGTCATGATCGTAGCAGGAACTCTTACGAACAAAATGGCTCCGGCTCTGCGACAAGTCTACGATCAGATGCCCGACCCACGATGGGTCATCAGCATGGGTAGCTGCGCCAACGGTGGTGGCTACTACCACTACAGCTACAGCGTGACGAGAGGATGCGACCGAATCGTACCCGTCGATATCTACGTGCCTGGATGCCCTCCCACATCCGAGGCGCTCATGTACGGCATTTTCCAGCTGCAAAAGAAGATGAGGCATACCAAGATTACAAGGATGTGGTACAGGAAGTAAAAGAGAGAGGTGCACGCAAAACAGCATACTGGCGTTGGGGAGCGGTCCCTGTTTCATATGTACATATTCCCCGAATGAGATGCGAACATTGTACACCAGTCGCCATCATATATTCATCATCCAGCACAGGACGAAAATCTCCATCATATCAACGGCCGTGGCTCGTCGACAACCATCTCCGGCAACAAGCCCAGCCTCGCATTCTCCCTATACATCTCAAAAATACTCTCAATCGTATCCACATACCCCGTCCACCCCATCCTCCTCGCCTTATTCATATTCAACGTCGCCATCGGAATCAACACCGCATCACCCATCTGAAAATTCTCCTCCGGATCGTCAAAAGGATTAAACGTAAGTCTCCCTGCACTCTCCCTCATCATCTCCTCCCACACAGCCCTATTCTCATTCTCCTTCGCCCAATCAACCAGCTTGAAAGAATACCGATGCTCAACAGGAGGTCCATACCCCATCGGCGCATCCTCGCCCCCTTTTCCAGCGACCATAACCTCAAACGCCTCACTCGGCCCTTCAACGCCCTTCGCGCCATACCACCTCCCCAGCTCCCCGAAAAACCTATCCCAGCTCACCGGCGCCGTATCCTGCGCATTAAACCTCTGATCCGCACATTTTTCTTCCAGAACAACCCACTCACTCAAATACCCCGTCAACCTCGCACTCGCATGACACCGCTCATCCTGCCAAACGCCCCAGTCAGACGGGAACCTCACCCCCTCCCCTTTCCGCCCCTGCACAGCCGCATACACCGCCCAAGGCTGGAACCCATTAATCTGCGCAGTCGTCACCGCCCCGATAATCCACGCGGGCGAGACGACGTTCCACGCACACCCGGGGACGGAGTTCACATACTCGAAGAGTAGCTCCTCCTGGGGATAATAGAAATTCGGCTCGAGGTGTTGCGGCTGCGGGTCGGATTCGCAGGCGGGCGTGCGATGGCGCCCGATGTGCACGCCGTAGGTCTTGGCGCCGGTTTGGAGGAGGAAGCGGGTGGGTTTCATGCCTACTTCGCGGAGGGCGAGAAGGAAGTTCTCCAGCAGGGTTTTGTTGACGGACACGAGCTCGGATGCGTTGGACCAGGTGTGGGATTTGGGGGCGGAAGGGTCTGGTTTGGGTTGCAGGTAGGAGTAGAAGAAGATGTGGGAGGCTTGGATGTTGGCTTCGCGCAGGGCTTTTGCGATTTCTGAGGGTGGGGAGAGGAAGTCGACGGCGACGTGGTGGATTCTGCTTCGCTGGTCTGGGGTGAGGAGGGCGAGCATTTCCTTCGGGGGCGGTTTTCGCGAGAGGGCGTAGATTTTGGTCCAGCGGTGGGGGCTCTCCAGGAGGGCCCGCATCGTGTGGAAGCCGGAGATGCCGTTGGCGCCTGTGATTATGGCGTGGAGGTTTGTGATGGAGGGGTCGAAGGTGGGGAGGTTGTGGTAGATGCCATGGTCTTGGAGAGGGTGATTTTTGGATCCCATGTTGGGTAGTGTTCTTGTGGTTCTGGTGCGAGGCTGGTCTTGAAAAGGAAGTAGCTGCGGAGTTCGGTCCGGTGGTCGATGTTGGAGAGTAGGTGATTTGAAGCAATGTTCTGAGACAGTTGAGACTACTATCGGTGAGCAGTTTATATAGAGGTTCGAGCCTTTCTGCTGCGTTTGATATAACCAAGGCACATTGATGCGGAGCTGGGTGGGGAAGGCACCGGAGCCAATGCCGATATCGAAACTCTAAATCAGAAGACGTGCAGCAGGTAGTAGCTTTTCAAGGCATCAAACATGCTAGGATAAGTATCAAACGCCGTGTGGTATATCTCAAAAACAATACTCGGCGCCGCATGCTTCGCAGATCTCTCAGGCTCCCTGAGACTGCTTACGTCCATCCATGCCCATTTGAACGCCCTTCCATCCATGGCTGTTGTCAAATTCTCCAAGCCTATATCCATTTTTAACCCGTCACTCATTCAAAGACGCCCGCACCTATCGAACTGTCCTGAGTTGCACCTCTTGCAACGGTAACCTGTCGTGATCTTCGCCTGTCTGAACATCCCTTAAGCGTCCAAGTAGACCTCTCTGTGCCTCTTCATCTACCATCATATGGCTTCCTTCCATGCTCTCCTTCGGTGCCGTCTCATCTGTACTCTTCTGCAGTGCAACGACAATCGCTGATCCGAGGATCAGGCTTGAGCCGATGATCGAGAGTACGCCCGGGGTGTGGTCGAAGATCATTTTGTCGGCCGCGAGAGCGAACAGCATCTGTGTGTAGGTCATATTGGTTGCTCGAGAAGACTTCTCGTACGCAAGGGCGGCCGCGAGCAGGAATTGCTGTGGAAGAGTCAGGAATCACATCGACCAATTTGTGAAGTCTCACTCACCATGACAAAGCCACAAATTCCCAGAAACAGGAGGTAGCCCCATTCCTTCAAATCACTCGGCAGAACGAAGCCAACATCTGGCAGAACGATCATCATCACAACCGAGACAAGCGTGCACCATACAGCGAAGTAGTTGACGCTGATGAGTGGATGAGCACGCTTGCCGATCCATCGTATCGTAGTGAACGCGGTGACAGTACCAACAACGCCCAGAAGAGCAATTCCAACAGCGCTCAGCCGCTGCATTGGAGTGACGTTGTCGTAGTTTGAAGCATCTGCAGGTGATGTCGTTGCTGTACCGTTCCCAGCGCCAGGCACCATGTCGCCCGTACTTCCCGCTGATTGCCCATCACTACCCACTCCAAGAGCCTGAAACAGAGTCGAAGGTCGAGCGATGAAGATGATACCTGTGAAGGAGACGATGGTCCCGATTTGCTCTATCCTGGTAAACGGCTCATTGATTAGGAGAGAGCATGCCCAGCATGCTAGTCCTGGAGCCAAGAAAGTGATGACCGTCGCATCTGCCAACGGTAGGTACAGTAAGGAGTAGTACATTCCGAAAACACCGAAGAAACCCCCAAATCCACGGGCAACGAGCAGCCATCGGACCTCTGGCATTCCGAGGGGGAAGTGCGGAGTCTTCTTCCACCACATGTATGCCGTTGACAGCAGGAACGTAATGCCCATGCGAACGAACAGGATCTGGAAAGGGTCGAGGCCTTTGCCTTGGTTTCCCTCAACTTCCAATAGCCGAGTCGTGACGTTCATCCCAGTTCCGAATACTTGCGCGATGAGCATCAAGACCAGGCCTTTGTTGCGAATCCAGAACTCCTGTAGTTTCCCTCGCCATCCCGGCAGCGTTGGTACAGGCCTACTGTGGGTTCGTTCTAACGATGCCGTCGTCTCATTGTGCATCTGCTCATATTCGTCTGCAGAGAGGTTCGAGAGCGTATCTGGTGAATGCGGCCGGATGGGTCCGGAAAGAGGCGCTGAGAGAAATCCATTGCTTTCGGAATGATTCTTCGGGACGGCCTCTAACTTCGGGGTGGCGGTGACACTGATGATTCCATTCTGCGCGGAGTCTGAACGCTCGAGGGTTATTGATGCGGCCTTGGTATCCGGCTCTTCCTTAGGTACGGGCAAGCTCATAGTCAGACATCGAATCGACTGGGGCGAAGTCGAGCGGGAAGCGTTGAGATGCAGGCGTCTTGTGTGCTCTTGCCAGTTCCAGATCTGAGCGAGAGAATAGGCAAATAGCAAGATTGACTCGACGCCAGCGATACGATGAAGATCAGATCCAGAGTCGGCGCAGGTGGGAGGAATAGAGCGTCAGCAGGAATATTAAAGAGAAAAAAATGGGGGAAGAGAAGAGACATGCGAGCAAAGAAAATGAGTAAGACAGGGTCGGGTTAGCACGAAAATGATGACTGCTGCAGCGCTGCTTCTGCGCCTCTCGACTTGTCTGCTGCTGCTACTGCTGCCGCTGCTTGCCTCTCGTTCACTCAACAAAAAGCGACCCACTTTGCGTGCGGGTTGGCCGTACAGGCGCAGTAGCTGCTTCCCCCGCCATCGACGCCGTCCCATCTGTTGGAGCTCGCTGTGTGTAGGGCGCGATCCTGCGGACGGTCAGCGGCGGAAGGCCAGTCGTCGACGAGTTTGCTGCTGCTGTCGTGCTTGGTCCTGACGATGCTGCGACTTCAACACCTGCACCTCGCCAGCCGCCCGGGACGTCCACACGACGTGAAGTGGTGCCGCGGGCTCTGCGCGGAGTTGAAGTGTGGTTTCACCGTTGAGCCTCAGAACTCACCGACGGCCAAGACTTCCAATCAGCCGACTGCCGCGGCTATTCCCGAAACCTTAACGGCAAGAGGAGTGTCAGGTCTGTTGTTGATGGAACCAGCATCCTCTTGCACAGTATTTGTCTGATGGTATTTGTGTTTTCAAGCTCACTCGCATCAATTGCTCGAGAAGGCTGCGTTCCAATATGAAGGATGGCCGTGGCGGTAGACCAACTCGTGCAAAACCGCTCCCGTCTCATCCTGGCAATGTCTACCGACCTTTTGCCGAACTGATGCAATTGGAGACCATCGATGGCGACACGTTCAGATCGATAGCACCTCCCTTTGCGCCTGGTGGTCCTGTAGGCGTTGGGCGTTCCTATGGTGCTCATGTCTACGCTCAAGCAGCCTACGCGGCCAGTAAGACCGTAGACAAGGGCTTCCTCCTTCATGTACGTCTATTGGTCACGAGGCCAGGCATGATGCTGACGTTCACAGCATGTATCTGGCAACTTCATACTCGCTGGTGAGCTTGCGGTGCCGTTCGTCTATAGGGTCCAAAGCATTCGCAACGGCAAGTCGTATTGCACCCGAGCAGTGAACGTTACTCAGAGCGAAGGGAACGGCATCTGCTTTACCTGCATATGTTCCTTCAAGACCGCTGAGCCCAGCCATGTCGAGGCACAACGAGAGCTCGACATATGGCGAGAGTATGCGGTCGTTCTCAAGGATCGACTACCGCATGATTTCCAAGAGGTCCCCGGAATGGATCTTCCCTTCTATTGGCAGAGGCGAAAGGAGACTGGTGAGAACGACAAATTTCCAGGACTCCAGTGTCATAAAGTCGACATGTCCAGATATAATAAAGATAAACACCCAATCGATCGACGCCAACTAATCTTCTATCGAACCATCGGAGACATGCCGGCAGACCCAAACCTTCATTTGGCGGCGCATCTATACTCCTCAGACAGGAACTCCTTATACATCGTCGCAAATAATTATGGAGTAGGAGACTACTGGACCCAGATGTCAAGTCTCTGCCATACCGTGATCTTCCACAGTCCAATGGAAGCACTACTCTTCAAGCCCTCCTCAGGACAGCAGTCCGAGCTGAACGACCCCACGGGCAGATGGTTCGCTTTCGAGGGCGGTGGAGATCGTATGGGCAGCGGACGAGCTGTCTTTAACTGTCGACTATGGAATAATGAGGGCATCCATGTTGCTACCGCAGTGCAAGATGGTCTACTCCGATTTACGAAACGAATAGATGCAAGCCCAGAAGAAGAACAAGAGATAGAACGCATAATGCGAGGATGGGGCCCACGAAGTAAACTATAAGAGTTGTACCCTCCTCGGTCCGGTCGAAGTGGAACTTATCGAACTGCTATCTCTCTGCCTTTTCGTAAGAGACAGCGGTGCTGATTACACTCCAAGCTGCTTAGAGGACTTAGGGATAACGGGGATAGATGTTCCACTTTGAGCAGAACACCGAGGGTATAAATCTGGTATGATTGCCGCAAGGCTGCGCTTTTTCAACTATGCCCAATGGATTTGGTCAATGCCCGCCTTGCGAAGGTTCTTATTTCGTCCGTTCCAGGTCCGCGTATGGACTTGACTTGCAGCGAGACGTTTGCTCGTTACTCCTTCGCTGACACCGCCATTCGAAGGCTCCTATGCGAGACGAATCAGGACCCGTATCAGCACCAATCACAACCCATCTGCACTCGGCTTTCGAATTGCCTTTCGGACGAATCCTCCTACTCGCTTCCGTCGAGACATTGCTGCACGATCAGAATAGCGTGTGCTGTGCAAAAGCACACTTCGCTCAAGGTATCTGACGGCTTTAAGGACGGCCTTTAATTTCCATCGGCACATTGGCCTGCCGTCATCGGGGTCTAGCAGAACAGCTTAAATGAACCTCAGCCTCGTTGCTCGGCGAAATCGTATACAGCATTTAGTGCTTCCACTGTTTCGGCGCCGAAACCTCACTCTCTCTCATTGGAACGGAAGCTGATCGTTAAGATGCGATAGACCGGCACAATTTCATCATCTGCTCTAACTGTCAGCATCGGTGGTCTGCACTCAACACATCACAGAAGATCACCGAGAAGCTGGGAAAACGGATAGCGCCGAGCCATTAGAAGTTGAGACGAGATTACAGCAGCCGCAGCAGCAGCACGCAGTCTTTAAAAGGGGGAGCGAGTCCCCTTTCAAAACACCGATCGCGACAGCAACGATTGTCAGGAAACATCTCTTCTCGTCACAATGGCCGCAACCAAACCCCTCAAGATTGGCCTCATAATCGGCACCACAAGAGTCCACCGCATCGGCCCCGAAGTCGCCACCTTCATCCTCGACACCCTCAACCGCACCTCCCCCACCCTTCAAAGCCCCCAAAAAACCACCATCGACCGCATAGACCTCAAAGACCACAACCTCCCCTTCTTCGACGAACCCATCATCCCGAAGGAAATCCACTCCCTCTCCGGCTACCACAACGACCACACCCGCCTCTGGTCCCAGCGCATCTCCTCTTGCGACGCCTTCATCTTCCTCTCTGCGCAGCGCAACTGGTCCATTCCGCCTGAACTCAAAAACGCCATCGACTACCTCTACCACGAGTGGACGGGCAAACCCGCCGCGATCTTCACGTATGGGGGTCATGGCGGGACGCAGTGCGCGGAGCATTTGAGGGCTGTGTTGGGGGCTATGGGGGTGCGGGTGTTGGAGAGGGGGGTTTGTATGGCTTTTGAAGGGAGTGAGTTCAGGGGGAATGCGTTAGCTGGGAGGGTCGTTGGGTTGGATGCTGCGAGGGAGGGGGGCTTTTGGGCGGGGTATCGGGGGGAGTTTGTAAGGGTTTTTGAGGAGCTTGTTGAGAGGGCTGGGGCGGTGAGGAGGGAGAGGGAGAATGGGGCGGTGTTTTGAGCTGCGCAGCCTACGTCAACGCAACACCTGTTATAGATATTGGCGATACCCTCGGGCTGAGATGCTCGCAAGAGACACGTTTGAGATGTGAGCCATTGCTAGCGCTTGAGACAAGGGGCTCGAAGAATAAGTACAAGGTATGGAAGCATGTTTTTATCTTATGTCTCAGTAGACCTTTGCACTTAGGCATTAATACTTCCGGTTCTCCTCCTACCATCTAGTCTCCATCTCCAAGACCTTACTATACACATCCCATGCAGGCCACTATACTCAATCATTCTCTTGTTCAAGCAACCCCGTCGATGGCGCCCATTCACCTCTCGCGAGTCACTGGCTTAGTGAGTGACTTGCTTTGTCCTCTGTGAAGCGAAAGCAGCCTTCACGAACAATGTTCTTGTTCGACACACAACACACGACAAGGTGTTGTACTCGAGCACGCTGGCGATGTTTATGTAGCGCCCGACCACTTCGTCTGCTTCTTTCGTATTCTTCACACAGAGAGATAGAGAACGAAACGACCTGCAAGAACAGCAACGAACCAAACTCCTTCAAGTAAGTCCTGACGAAAGAGACCACAAACGCACACTTACGAAAGCAAAGCTCAACAACTCAACATGTCGAACAACAACGACGACGACGACGACGTCGCCTTCGCCAACTTGCGCCGCAAGATGGCCGACCAGCTGGCCCGCGACAAGGCTGAGTGGTTCGGCGAGGATTGGGAGGTTCAGCAGGAGGAGGAAAACGACAACTCCAACCAGTTCTGCAGCGACCAGGAAATGCAAGCCGTCTTCAAGGAAATGCGCAAGGGTAGCATGCTCGACGGCCACACCTACACTCCAGGTGCTGGCTACACGGGCGACTACACCCCTGCGCAGCAGGCTCGTTTCCGTGGGCAGCTGGCCAGAGTGAGGATCAACTGGCACAAGAACTCCTCGACTCGCCGTCGTCTCGACATCGGTCCGAAGAACGAGTTGGCCCCGGAGTTCGAGGGTCTGACGGCTTCGGAGGTTGCTGCTCGCTTTCCTGGCGAGAGTGTTGAGATGGGTGGAGAGTTCGATGGTGATCAGACCATCGTCGTTGCTCGGGCTCAAACCCCACAGGCTTCGACTGAGCAGGACGAGGAGGAAGATGCCGGTAGTGAGGATGTCGTCGACGAGGATGGAGATGTCGGGATGGAGGATGCTTCGAGCAGTGTCGAGGACGACGCTGAGGACGACCCGGATTATGAGAACGTGTCGCCACGTTCGAAGAAGCGTGCTCGAAAGTGAGCAGCAGGCTAGACTTGGAAATCAGCAATAGGATAGAGACTGGAGTGCATGAGGAGGAGGAATCGCATGAACTTCGTAGACCAATCTTTTCAGTTCCTTTGCAACTCCTTCCCATGATAAATTTCCACTGTGCCAGTACACTGTGCGAAACGACTCTAATGACTTCTTCATCTAAAACAAGAGGAACCAGTCGGTATTTTGTGATGTCCGGTTGATGTAAAAGGACAGAAAAGGGGTAGGTGTCGTCGAGGTGGATCTTCGGCTGAGTCACACCTGCCACGGATCTTCGACCTCATCTCCCAACTTGTTTCTCTTCCTTTTCATCCACATCAATCTTCTGAATATCCCAAGTCCTCACTTCGTCCATAGACATCTAGATCGCTGTCGATGTCGAGTTCTAGACACACCCACAATGTGGTGTGGGTCGATCTCGGTGGAGCAGTGGCCTCCTTGCATCCACTTCCTCCTTAGCCTGGTTGCACAGCGTCGGTCGGTGTGTCTTTCATTTAAACACATCTCAGATATACGCTCTTCGCCCCACGATCAACAGGTCCTTCATTCTGGTCTTATCAAGCTCTATCCTGTGTTCGCTGGAAAGTCGACAACATGGCCGATACATTATCCACGGAACTGATCGAATTCATCTTCGCATACGCCGCCGAGATTGACGCAACAACCGCAGCCAATGTCTGCCTCACGAACAGGCGCGGTCGAAAGATCGCGACGCCTATCCTGTACCGCACCATCTGCATTGCGGCCTTCGGCAAGAACAGAGTCAACGAAACCCCAGTGACGACATGGTGTATCCTCGTGCGAAGAATGCAGCGACTTTGCCAAAGTCTTTGGAAGAAGCCAAATCTCGCCCGATACGTGAAACGTATCGTTCATGACGCCGACTTTGGGATGCCGCACTTTCACGCAGAAATCTACAACCCGACATTCGACAAGGAAGTGCGCGACAAGATCTTAGCGCTCCGCCCGCCCATCAGACCAGAGATTGAGATTGCCATGGGGATGCCAGGGAATGCCTCCGACACACAAGACCTTCTCACCGTCTTCCTGCTGATCATCTGTCCTAACTTGGAATCCCTCAGTATCGAGGGTCTGCCAAGGTCCAGATGGGAGCATAGAAAGACGTTGGACGACTTCTTCTTCAACTCCAATTCCATTGTCGAGACTGTACGGCGAGATAATCCATACAACGGCGCTACTATGTTTCGCACAGACGGTGTACAGAATGTGAGAGAGATTAGCCTCAGTTGTACTGGCCGGGAAGAGCTGTCTGCATCGATTGCAGCAAATATGATGAGATACATCCATCGCCTCTTGCCTAGCCTACGAGTTGTGGAGATTGGGCTTCTCCACCGGGAAACCAATGGATTACACACTGGCTGGCAAGCTTCAGTGTCTCCCATCGAGGAACTTCGCATCATGTCATGTGGCTGGGATATGAGCGGGAACACGCCGAGACTTGATGATCTTGTTTGGATGGTTCCGGCACTCAGGTCACTCAGCATTAGCTTCAACAAGAACGTGAACGTCTACGACAGTTCTACTTTTGATTGGGGTGCGATAATAGGTGCTTTCCAACAATTCGCAGGTCTGGAGACCCTCCGTCTGGACTACCTCTACCTCGGCCTGGCGTCCTCTGCAAAATGTCACAGAGCGTTGAAGGAGCATTCAGCCTGTCGTCCCATTACCGATTTGAAGTTCTTCCCGCGCCTGAAAGCACTCTCCGTGCCAGCCTTCGCGCTGTTTGGCTGCCGCATCAACGATCAAGGCCAGCACGTACCGCGAGTAGACACGTACTATCAACTCCAATACCTCCTCCCGTGGACCCTCACCGAGTTGGAGGTTGTGTGCGACAACGAGCACTTCACGGACGATGACATGGACATGTTACGCATGGTTGGGCCGGAATGGCTGGACGATGTGATCATTGTTAACTGCTTTCGGGAGAAGTGGATTTCCAGACGACATGGCGAAGGCTCGGTCGGTGAGAGGGCTGTTCGGAGGAACAAGACCGCTTATCTGGACGCTTTCTTTAATCCGCTAATGACACGTCAACACCATTTTCACCTTGACTGTCGGCTGGGGGAATGAACTTGACATCGATGGAACATTATAATACACCGGGTTTGGGTGATTAGTCCTCTCCTGTCCAGCCCAGTTGAGCTGGACATTGCAGACTTCCTCGACGCAGGAGAAGCTGATGGGGAAGAGATGGAACAGTACACGCAAGTCATTATGGACAGGAAGCCAAGAGGTGCACTGCATACTAGCCGCCGCAAACAGTGATTGTCTTGCCAGACCCTCGGGATTCCTCAACGACGCAACGATATCCATAAATTCCGAACGATTATACGAGTCCCTTTAAGTAAGAGAGTCAACTGAGCCTAAGAAGCATTTGTTACATGCCGTTCTGACAGAATACCTCCTCTGCTATGTTGCTGGACTTTGTCTTTGTTAATCGAGACGAAGAGGGTCCTCAATAAGACGGCAAGTCCTTTGTCCCAACACAAGAACATCGACCGCATGACCACGACAATGAGCCTTGGCAGTACAGTATAGCACAACAAGATGACCACAAAACACCACGACAGCCCTCCTCCCACCTCGAAAAGCCCACCCAAAATTCAACATCACAACCCCTGACCACCACAATGAAACTCCTCCCCACCCTCCTCCTCGCCCTCAGCACCCTCCTCCCCCTAACCCTCACCAACCCCTCCCCAGACCGCCTCAACGGCGTCCTCCAATCCGCCGCCAAAGCCGCCAACGCCTCCCCCAAACCCGCCTCCTCTCGAAAACCCGGCGCCGTACCCTCCCCCGCTAAACCGGCCACCCCGAACCTCTCCGGTCTAGGAATTGTGGGCGCACCCAATTACGCCGAGAAGTGCCGGGCGAAGAATGTTAAGATGGCGAAGGTGATTGAGACGTTTTGTGGCTTGCAGAGGATCGAGGTGCCGAGTGGGTTTACGAGTAAGGGGTGGTGTGGGTATGGGGGGAGGGATATGATGAACGCGCAGGTGGATAGTGCGTTTGGGGGGGAGAAGGTTTGGTGTGTTAAGGTGGGGAGTAAGAAGGGGAAGTGTAAGGTGAGTGGAGCCCTTTTTCGAGACTTCATTGTTTTTCGTTGGGGAAGGGGGGTTGCTGACGTGTTGTTTGCAGCCAACGACACTGGACAAGAAGAAGTGCATGGGGAAATTGATGGAGGTTTGTGCGAAGGGTGGGAAGAGGGGGGTTGGCAAGGCGAGGGATGGGGAGTGTTTTGTCTATCAGACGGGGTTTTATGATGGGTTGGCGGCGGATGCGGAGATTAGTCCTTTTAGGGGGGCGGCGAAGCCGGCGGGTTATTAGGATTGCAGTGTAGACAGGAGATGGAGAACGTTAGAACCAACAACGATGTGGGTTTCTGTCGAAGTACGAGATATCATCGATCAGACAAAACTCCCAACCCAAACATCCATCGCTCTTACGTCCCCTTTTAAGCCTTTCAAACTCGCCTCACAAGCATCCCTCAACGCAGACACCACCCCTTCCTCCCTCTCATCACTCACAAACTCCTCCACTTCCCTCCCGAACCTTTCACCAAGAGTCGCCTTAACCTCCCACTCTCCATCTAAAACCCCCTCCCTGGGCTGCACATACGCCTCCCTCTCCAACGACCATCCAGCCTCCAGCGCCAATTCCTTCAGCCTCTTCGGGCTCAACACCGTCCTCACATTCGACACACTCTCCGGTTTCCGACATTCCAACGCCGCCTGCGCAAGTGCCGCCAAGACATGCGTTTGCGCAGAAGGGCACGTAGCAACAAGCGACCACTCCGCGAGGAGGAGGCGTTTGCTATATCCTTTAAGAGCACGAAAAGTCTCCAGAATGAGCGTCGGCGAGGGGAAGTACCAAAGCGAGTGAGCGAGGATTGCTGCGTCGAAGACGGCGGAAATGGAGGTGAGGTAGTCCAGGGGGGAGTTCTGGATCCAGGATATGCGTCTTCCGAGTGGGCTTTGGGAGATGTGGCTCTGGGCCTGGCTGAGGGTCGACGGAGATCCTATAGGAGACATCGAATCAGTTGTCTGTTTGTTGGAAGTCAGAGGACTTACGCACCGTAGTCTAAGTCTGCTGGATCAACAGCCACTACCCTTCCTTCTTCGCCCACGGCGTCTGCAAGAACAGTCGTGCAGTCGCCCTGTCCGCATCCTAGTTCGAGGACTTTCGAGCCGGTGGGGATCTTCCAATGCTGGAGAAGTTCCAGGCGATGAAGGGTTTGAGAGTACTGGATGCTGAAGTTGTCGGGGTCGTGGAGGGAGAGACGGGCGATCGAGGCGGCCTTGTTCTCGAGTTGGGTGGAGGTTTTCATCTTTGTGGTCATGGTGGTGGTGGTGGACGGGATATGAGATGGCCAGAGAGAATGTGAATTGACGATTGTGGAGGAGTGGGTAATGATCAATCACAGAATCGTTTAGCATGACCCATATTCGGATTCGCGACAGGATCAAGAACGCATTGAGAGGAATTGACGATTTGACTCATTGGGATGAGTAGATGCAGCTAAAGGAGTGGGCGCGAAATGGGACGTTTTGGGCGAATGTTGTGGTTAGTCATTTCGCCCCACGCAGCTGCCTATTCGGTGCGGCTTGAGGAACTCTGTATCAGTAGTGAAAGATGAGATTTGAAGATGGTGGTATGGAACTCGATTGTTTTCTTGCGGCGTTGCTGCCAGCTATTGCTACATGTATGCATGCCTCCCTGGAAAGACCATGGGCCTACTTACATGTATTACAGCTTGGCCTGACTTACATGTCAGAGGGGCCGCGGATTGCCAGAGTGATGAGGTCAGAGATCGAGGCGAAGCTCCATGGCTTGTTGGCTGCGTGTGCAGTGGCAAAGCCCTCGAGGTCGCGCTTATAGGAGTGGTACTGCTGCAAGGCGAAACGTGGCGTGGGCTTCTGCTTGTAGACGATCGCTCGAACGACAAAGCTGGTGGTGCATGCGGCCCAGATCAGTGTGTACCAGAGTAGAGTCAGCAGAATGCGCGTGCATGGTGGCAGGAGTGTAAGAAGGGCGATGAGAGGAGAGCCATTCTTGCGGCGGGGAGTGAGTACGGTGAAGACGAACTCGAGTGCGAGACATAGCCCGAAGATGGTCATCAGGGGCTTGATGAGGAAGGCGGTGAGGCTGATGAGGGTGCTTGTGGACAACATGGCTGGTGATGTCTTGACTTGGTCGATGTGGGTGTTGGTGTGGGAAGGTTGAAGTTGGGACTGTGTGGATAGAAATGAAGTTAGAGTCCAAGGGCTCCTTCGCATGTTAAATACGATGTGTGCACCGCTTCGACGATGTGTTATGCAAGTGTCTTCCACAATGGCCTTGACCAGCGACTCGACCCCAAATGGGACAGAATATGCGCACAAAGACTTACCCGCAGAACAAAGGCATAGATCCAGGTGGTTGATATTGTGGGACAACGAGAAATTGTTCGACTCCGCCCATTCGGTGTGGTTTGGCATGCTTCATTTCGTCGCTACTCCAGTGGCACATGTAGAGGTGTCGAATAGCGATCCCTCTTCATGATCTTTGTTCGTTGTGAACGCCAACATGCCCAGCTCAATGCCCGCCACTCAGAGTATCCAGGCCTCACTGGGTAAAATGGGTTACTGTCTGGGGCGATCTGTAGCAGTCCTGTGATCTTGTTGAGATGAAAATACGCCAGGCAACAATTGATCGGCAGCGGGCCTTGGTTTGCCTTCTTGGGGCGATATGCCATCGGCCAGAACAGAATGCTTTCATGCCTGAGTAGAATGATGATCCGAGTCGTGCGTTCTCGTCCCCCAACCAGCGTCTCTACGCTCAGATTCCAGCTAGGACACATACAGTCTTTCTCGCCGCATGGCCACAATCAACCGGCCTGTCTTTCATCAGAGTGATACAATCGAAGCGGCGTGATTCCGGCGAGTGTGGCAGAGTGTAACAGAATGATTGTGGAGCAGAGAGAAGTGCGGCTGTGCCAGACGACTGAGCCTCAGGCCAGAGGGCAGCTTACGACGTTTCAAGGAGCTTCAGCTGAGCAGGGATGTCGGACGCGAACGTGGTTGTTTACCACCAGCGGCAAGTTCTATAACGCAGAACAAGTATAAGGTGAGCCGAGAGAGGTGGCAAATGAGGCTGTGGACGAGAAAGGAGTCGTATTGATGAAATGTGTCGTGTTGACGTGAGAACTGAACGGGCAAGGCGAGCCTGTGAAGTCGCTAGCGGAGTGCCAAGGCTAAGCTCGGACGCTGATTGAACGAGCGAGCTGCCTCGCCCGACCACCGCCAGCGACCACGTCCGCCGCCCATCGACCACCTCTCAATCTCTGCCAGCCAGCAACCACCACCACCCACACAACCATCCTCCATCACCCTCTGCCACCCGCTCATCCACTGCACCCTGCGTGTCCCTGTTGCGGTGAGGCACGACTAGCAAACACAGCCCATTCGGACGGGAGCCAACCGGCGAGGTAGGTACCGATCGGCTGCCGCTAGCAACTCTCCAAGCCTCTCAACTTCCCTCCCTTAAACGCCATCGCCATCCATCCAGCAAACAACCTCTTCCACCACCACTACTCTCCACCCATCACCACCCACCGCCGCTCGCCACCGCCGCACCTCACCGCACCCGCCCTGGGCCCCCGCACCTTGTTAACCCGTCGCGCAGATGGCGGAAATCCGTCGCAAGTTGGTCATTGTTGGTGACGGTGCTTGTGGAAAGACCTGTCTCCTCATGTGAGTCTCCATGCCCGCCGAACATGCACACGTGCCCGCCGCCGTGATACTGACTGCATCGCAGCGTCTTCTCCAAGGGTACTTTCCCAGAGGTTCGTCTCTCACTCCCTTCTCCGCCCCTTGTCCACCGCACCGCGTCATCACCCCGATAAGGCGCACAAGACCCGACCGACACCTCCCCTCACTCCCAATGCACCTTCAGTACTGACACGCACCGCTGCAGGTCTACGTCCCAACCGTCTTCGAGAACTATGTCGCCGATGTTGAGGTGGACGGCAAACACGTTGAACTAGCGCTATGGGATACGGCTGGCCAGGAAGACTATGACCGCCTGCGACCTCTTTCATACCCAGACTCCCACGTCATCCTCATCTGCTTCGCCATCGACTCGCCAGACTCCCTCGACAACGTGCAAGAGAAGGTAGGCGACTGCTCACGTGCCTTGAACCTGTATACTGGATGCTGATTGGTTGCGCACAACAGTGGATCTCAGAAGTCCTACATTTCTGCCAGGGCCTTCCCATCATCCTCGTGGGCTGCAAGAAGGATCTCAGATACGACCAGAAGACGATTGAAGAGCTGCACAAGACCTCGCAGAAGCCAGTGACCCCCGAGCAGGTATGTGATCAGGGATACACATAGCCGAGGGTAGTAAGAGCTAACAACACCTTCCACAGGCCGAAGACGTCCGCAAGAAGATTGGCGCTCAGAAATACCTCGAGTGTTCTGCCAAGACGAACGAAGGCGTCAGGGAAGTGTTCGAGCACGCCACGCGCGCAGCACTGCTCACGCGAAAGAAGAAGGAGAAGAAGTGCTCGATCCTGTAAACTACTCATACCCAGAAGTCATAATCAGCCCGTCGAACTGCCTACCGTCTCCTCGTCATCCAACCACGACCCCGGACACTACTACTACAATGATACGAAACTCAAAGACAGATAATTTGCAACAACAACAACCACAAGACACACGGAAGGGCGGCACTGCGAAGGGAGAGAAGTTTTTCTGAGGCACGTCTGGCATAGATGTCGCTTGGAAGGGTGATGCGAGCGTTTGCGTGTGGTGTTTGAATGAACTGGGGAGGAGGAGCGTGTGGAGGAGAGGAGCGGGCATTTCAGCTGGCTGAACCCTTTCTTTTACTGCTCGGCCGGCGGGGGAAATGCCTTGTTGTCCTGCCTCGTTAGAATCATATCATGGCAATACCTGCTGGCGTTAGTTGGTTCGAGCAATGCGGCTTGTTCTTCTGATTGCAACGAGTCCCGTCTCTCATTCCAAACCGTGACCGCGAAAGGTGAGGTCGAGGAGTCAGGAATGGAGAACATGACCCCACGCGTGACAGTAGTATTTCAAGGCAACTAACACAAGCAGCTTCGTCAACGGCTGACTCAAGGATCCTGCTTGACAGGGCTCAGCAGATCAACAGAAGCAACACTTTCCAGGTCTGGCATGCAGTCACGCCAGCACAGCGTTTCTCACATTTAGAATGTCTTACGAATGCCTCTCCATCCACATGTCGTAAGGCTATGCAACAAAACGTGCAGATGGCGAGGACCGAGTCATGCTCTCACCTCCCTCCATGTCAGCCAAAGCAGATGGCTGATGAATGATGGAGCGGGGAGTGTGGCTACACGAATTGGAGTTGCTGGTGTTTGCACGTTTCACGGGGATGTTCAGCTTCGAACTATTCCTGTGATGTGATGAGGGTAGTCACACGAGCTGAGGTGTGTTGCGTGGTTAACGCGGCTAGACACGTGCCTCCTTCCGGGTGAATCAATCAGAAGGCAGAGGCAAATTGAGAACTCGTGAATAGAGACAAAGAAGACTTCATAAGCTGCTGCTTGCGAGATCAAAGGCTGCAAGTCTCCATAATATTCATAGCTGGCCATCATCAACAAACACGATATCGATATCGCGACATAGGTACCTTCGACCCCTCCACATCACACGACAACCACCACAGCAACGCCGTTTGGACAGGCATGACACGGTAAGGCTGAAGACTATTCTAGATACATGGGATCGACTGGACAGGACCACGCTGCAGTGGCGTGGCTGTCTCACGCGAACCATTTACCAATCCGCCTTGTGCTTGTGCGTAGCCGAGTCGCACAAAGGAAGGCGAGAAGACGGCCAGTTCTTCTCATCATAATTCTGTCTTTCGTCACCATCCGCGACTCCCGCAGGCGTGTTGGCCGTTCGTGGCAAAGACTGGGAAGATCCTGACCGGCCTGCACGCGGAGCCAGGTTGACTTGGAGCCGGGGCCTCCAACAATTCCATCATCACGAGCCGGAGACCCTCGCGGATTGGCGCGCTTCCCTCGGCCTTAAGCGACTTTTGCATTCGCGCGGACCCTCGTCGAACTGCACCGCAACGAAAGCCTTTTACCTGCTTCACCACTGGCACCACCAGACCACCGCACCCCGAGTTTCTTCACCATCGCGGCCGAACTGTCCAACACTCTCAACCCGAATCACTGGAAGAGGGGCACACGCACAGGGTTCTCTGCATTTCGCCCTTTGCGACTGCCCTTTGGCCTGGGCGCGGTCTCGTCCTCCAACAACCACCCACCTCCACTCCGCCGACGAACATGAATCTAGGTGCCCATCCACAGCGCATCCAGTCACAATGTTCATACCGATAGCTTAGGCTCCCCGTCCGGTGAGTCGCGACAACTTCCCCTCCATCCAGGACTCGACACGTGCTTCCCTTCCTAAAACGCGAGAGCCGAGACATGAAAGTGCGCAACGCGAGTTACTGAATGCCCTTTCTTGCGTAGGGCGACCGCTCGCAAGGCACCCTCTCAGTAGAGTGCCTACCCTTCACGATCCCGCGATTCATCGACCTTCCTACCCCTCCATACATTCGACCTTTCATCGACAAACGCAACGACAGCAGCCATACAAGACTCGCTTTTATCCTCTGTCGCTCGCTTTATCTTTTGCAGAGAGCATCCATCGAGCAGATTCAGAAGCAGACATCACAGCAGGGGAGAACAGCACACGGAAATGTCACAGCATCGTGAGAGCGTTGACGAGCAAGTTCCTACTATCGCCGCGATGAGTGTGGCAGCGACCGAGGTGGAGATCAGGACGGTGCAAGTACACGACGAGACAATGTCGGAGCGACCTACGAGAGACGTCATGGAAGGAGGTACATCTGCCCCTTTGTTCGCTGCACTGTTCGACTTTTGCTGACTTGACCCAGTCGAACACGGCTCCTCCAGACCACCTTCGCCACCAGAGACTCGATCGCCAACTCCTCGAGTCTCGATCGCACCTTGTCCATCACGCCTGACGCCGCTTGTTCCACCCGTCAACTATGGCGCTGTTGAGAAGCGTACCATCTTCAGGAGCGGCTTTCCACAAGATCGCAATGTCGAGTTTCTTGAGCGGCTCAGACTCAATGGCACGATGTATGCTCTGCCACCTTCGTGTGACTTTCATGATGCTGACTACCTTCAGCTCACTCGTCGAGGAGGAGATGAAGCCTGAAGTGGCCAAGTTCATCGACGTCTACAGCATCAACCACGTCTGTGTCCCGATCAAGGCGAATAAGGATGGTGAGGTCAGGACCACACTCAACAGCCTCTGCGAGGCCATCCTCTACCTCATGAACCCCATCAACCACCCCGTCTACGTCCACTGCAACCGAGGAAAGCATCGCACGGGCTGTGTCATTGCCTGCCTGCGCAAATGCCAAATGTGGCCCATCGACGAGATCCTGGCCGAGTACGATACCTACGCTGGCGAAAAGGCCCGCCCAGAGGACAAGAACCTCATCAGAGCCTTCAACCCGGTCGATGTGTACAAGTATGCCGAGAATGAGAAGATGCTCGAGTCCTGGCCTGCGATCATGAGAAAGGACTCTGTGCTTGGCGGCAACCCTGCCGACGTCTTCGATCTGGCTTCGTTCCTCCCAGCTCATGATACGGCACTGATTCCAGTCGAGAGCAGCGAGGATGACTCGTCTGACAGTGACGATGGACTCCAGATTGCACAGCGTGTCATCAGAGCAAATCGCGAGGTGTATCAGATGGAACAGGAGCCCGCAGTCGCTGATATCGACTTGGTGGAGAAGGAGTCTTCGCAGCAGGAAGATGTCATTCTTGTGGAAGAGGTTGATGAAATCGACCCCTACGTCGCGGACGAGAACGTGGAGGATACCGAGTGGTCGCCCCCATATGACTGGAACAACGACACGCCAAACACAGTCGCATACGCCTCGACGACCACACAACCGCTCGCCGTCTCGCCTGTCCGCGCCAGAGCTGCGGCATAGGAGGCCATGGCTCGCCAGAAGAGTCCTCCTCGACCGACACCACTACAGCGCAGACAAGGCGAAGGAAGCCTCTTCTCCCTCAACACATTGAGCTACTAACTCCTCAAGATGGCACTGCACCAGCAGTGAAGCCAAAGTAACATGATGAAAAGTCACGACCGGGGAGGTCTTTTTGGATTTTTGTTTGTTGTTTTATCGACTTGGGTTCGACTTGACTTATTAGCGTTGGCGCTGGTGGGCACAAACCATGAAAAAGGGGAAGACTCGATTGATGCATTTGCATTTTCATTGGATCGATGGAAAGAATCAACGGACCAGATGAGCATTTGGGAGGGCGCGCGTGTGTGTGTGTGTGCTTTTTGCATCTGCATTGTGACTCTCGGACTACTGAACCATTCGATGGTGATGGTAATGGGAAGACGATTACAGAAGGGCCTGATCTGAATAGTGAGAATCGATGAATGATGCTTTGGGGTTGAGAGTTTCGTGCCGAGCCTTGCCTCTTGATGAGCAGTATTTTGCTGTTCTCGCCTTTCTCAAAGTGCCATATATGTGTTCGGAAGCTTCGTCTCGTGATGAAAAGTAAGGTAGGGTGTTGAGAGCCACTGATACGAATATGCCTGTAGGTAGGGAAAGGAGGAGGGTGTGCTTGTACTTGTGCATTCGCGGGTCTTTGAGAGTAACGCTTTTTTACGTTTGCGTCTGATGAGCGGGATTGAGGGAGGTTGAGATTATTAGATTGAGGAGTATGAGAAGGGAAGGGGTTTTCTGCGGAGGGAGGTTGTTTTGAATCGCAGCGATCGTAATTAAATAGGGGGAAGTTATATTGTAGACTGGGGGTGATTGAGAGGTAGTCTTTCCAAAAGGGGGAGGCTTTGGATGGTGAGTATCGTAGGGCGATGAAGAAGAAGTAGGCGGGTCACATGCTTCTCCTCGCCGCCTCTTCGAAGAGGATATGGGTTGTTCGACGAGACACTTTCCATCGCCCCCTAGGAGTTTTCCTTTTCAGAGGGCACCGCAGCGCTCTCAGGACACAACTCCGCCGGACCTGCATGTCGCCACGCACCAACAGAAATGCAAGCCTACATCGCCACGCTCGTCTGCATGCCTACATGCGTGCATCGAATTCGACTCTGCTCGGTTGCAGCACACGTACCCAACCGTACCCGACACACTGGATCCGCGCGTCGCGGTCGGGCGGCAGCAACAGCAATATCGAAGGCTTGGGAGCCGCTAGCGGTGTCCCCTATCGTGCTGTGGGCGCTTGGGTCTTGTTGTGTTTTCTAGCGTGATAGCGTGATGGGTAGGGTGGTGTTGTGGGAAAGGTTTGCGAAGGGGTGCGTGGGTGGGCTGGGTAGGGGGTTTGGAGGGCTCGACGTCAACTCGGGAGGTGGTTTGCTAATGCGAGGTCGTGCTGTGTCGTTCTATGTTAGGTTCGTGGTGAGATGTCTTCTTCTTGGGAGTAGTCGCTCACTCAGTCGGTATAGCGAAACCTCACTCTCCAATCCCATCGGACCACACCGCCCGCACCGCGCCCAACATCAGCTCCTGCCCAGTCCAGGGTCCCCGGTCGCTGTGGCTAGTGCGCGAAAGAAACCCCAGAGAGCTTGTCGCGACTTCATTTCGCCGTGTCCGTTGGCCAAGCGTGTGGGGGTTCCATTGTCTGTACCGTATCATCGCTCGCTATCTCTTCATCCTCCTTCGATGACGCTGGGCTATGACTTATGCTATGGCGCTTGGTCAGTGTCGGATATGCGTGTCATCAGTCCTTTGCGACAAGGGGAGCTCTTGGACACGAGATGGTGGGATTCCGGTCTCGCGTGGCGGGTTCAGGTAAGCAAGCAAGTCGGCAGTTGGTATGGATGGGAAGAGCCGAAGGGTTTTTGCTCCTTGTCTCGAGACTCGTGCCGTGGTTGATTCTGAGACGTCTCAGTTTCACTCTCAGTCCTCCGCGTATGGCGTACGGCCTTGACCGTGGCGTGGTCGAGAATTTTGTGCAGTAGCTGCCGCCGGGTGACTCGGGTGGATTTAGGGCGGATTTTGGGTGGTGAGTGAATGGTCTTTCACGTGCTGGTGAGGTTAGATTGGCGTCGGGGAAAGTAGCCTTGGGTGGTGGGCTGGCGTTTGTTAGTCCTTAGGTTATGGTTGCATTGCGGTTAGGGTTGGAATCGTAGTGAATTGTTCTGAAGCGGCAATGGACGAAGAAGAGATCGTAGGGTATTGTTATTGGATGCAGCTGGCGACATCCTTCAGAATACGAATCTGGGATAAATGTGATAGTCACCAACACGGCACTAAAAGGCTTGTACACACCGCAGTCCTGGAGCAGAGGCTCACCCTTACCTCGTTTCTCTCCTCACCAGTTTTAGGACTCATCGACCGTCTACGCATGGGAGCCGCATGTGAGCGTCCACGTGTGAGGGCTGAACGAGTATCGATCCCTCCACGGCTTGTTTCCTTTTTGACATGCACGCAGCGGACATGATTACTGAGCTGGAACGTGGGCGTTTCTCTCATCTGCGCCTCATCGTCTTGAAGGCGGGAGACGTGTGATATCTTGCATATTCATATCACACCGTACGCCGCAGACACGTTGCCGAAGGCCGAACGTTTCCCTGAGTGGACTATCCTGGCGGTTATCAACCCGGTGGCCGGATGTCGCTATTGCTTCCGTTAAAGGAAATGCGGCTCACGTTGTCGCATAGCAAGCCTCATATTCCATTGCTTGCGAGTGGAAATGTCGTCCGGAGGATGTGTGGCGGCGAAACGGCCTGAGGTGTAAGCTCTGGGAGAGGTGAAGTGCGAGAATCGTTGGTATGTGCTGTGCAACAAGAATTGGCCTCTCGCTTGAGGATCGTTAAGCATACAGTCATCAATCGATGATGCCGTCACCCTCGTATTCTTTATGGTAACCTGATTCCACGACATTGCGGATGTATGTTGGATGTAGCACAAGAAGCAACGTCGTGATGAAGCTCACGGCAGACATCCAACCAGGCGTCCAAGAACACCCTCATGTGCGACGCTGACAGCAGCCTTACTTGCTGACCAGCTCATCATAGGTTCTCCCTCCCAGGCCCAGGCTTGCTGTTGGTTGCTGACGGTGGCACCCGGATGCCTAGAGCCGCGCCGCCATCTTGCTGAGCCCTCGACTTTGCTTCATCAATCCTTCCCTTTGCCAGGCTAATGCCAGTTACAACCCAGTCTCCGCAGCTACATTGCATGCCTTGCCAAGCATACTTGCCCACGTTTGTCCTACACTTGGGGCATTCGAGCCTTCCATCTAGCTTTCCTTGTTCCAGCTCCGGCCTCATCCAAGATAGTGGATCCAGGAAGTAGTGGGCACATGCGGGAGATGTTGTTTTGGGAGATTTTGGCGAATTTTGGCTGGCTTCTTGACGCGGTTGGTGGCTCACGAGATACTGTGAGGTTGCGAGAGTTCGCCTGCAATGCTTAGTCCCACGTTACGAAATGGCTTGCCATGAAAGCACCCTCACCTGCATTTCCGACATCGAAGATCGAAGTCCGCGACACCAGAGCCCTGGGAATGTTCATCCTCGAATCTGATCTTGTCCGCTTCCGGCGGTTGGCCGCATGCTCGACTGAGCTTGACCTCTTGGAGATATAGCCATCTTTGGTAGGCTGGTAGTTGATCGAGGTCGCCTGGGGCACCCATTTCCTCCCACAGATTGAGTTGGTCCATGAAGCCGTCATTCGGTTCAGCGAGCGGTCTGCTGGCTCGTATCCTCATCAGGGCCTCGATAGGGCTGATGCCGTAGCGGTGGATCAAGTAAGCGCAGACGCACGTTGCAGAGCGTGACTTGCCCATTGCACTACAATGTCATCAGTACTTGGTGAATGTCCCATATCGATGAAGCGGGGCTATCCATGCAGTCTCCGGAGTGTTCCATAAGAGAAGGTACGATGGAGCTGCGAGTCAAGGCAGATTGTATGAAATCGCTTTCGCGCCTGCCGTGTCGGAGCAAAGGCCGGTAATACAACGAAAGACATGCAGAGAGCTGGTATGACAGGGAATTTGTCAGACTCACCAATGCACGAACACTCCCCCGCCGGCATCGAGTCCTTCCTGAATGAACTTGACACATTCGGGGAAGTACTGCAGCAAATTCTCATCGTCCACGTCGTCGACCTCTACAACCTTGTGGGCATAGCCTTCGAAGAGAGTCTCGTCCAGCGGCAGCCTTAAGACGGACAGTACGTGCGTGATGCCAGCGGCCTGCAACGCTTCTTTGCGGCGTAATGTGAACAGTCTACGGGGCGATCAGAGTCTAGAAGTGGCGAGAGGGCGTGATGGCTGCATGCAGCAGAGATTTCGCACGACGAACCCGCCAATGTACAACTCGTCATCGCCCGGAACTCTGTCGAGGATGGCCATGTTGTGGAGCCTGCGCGGAGGCGGAAATGTCGGTCGTCGATGAACTCTTGTTCTGGGAGTTGGGAGGTGGATGGCCGGTACACGATGCTGTGTGGTGATGTGACCCTAAGCCAAGCCAAGCCCAGCAAGGGTTTTCGGCAGAAAATCCGTGTCATGGTCCGTGCCCAGCGGTTGTTCGCCCCTCCATTCAGCCTTACGCAAACTACCTCCCACGACTCCTTTGCAGCTGCGTGCTCCGCGGGTCGTGCGTGCCGTGCTACTGCACGCACCGTAACAGAGTGCATGCAAGGCCCCCCTCGCGTCATCATCACTATCGTGGCCATCATGAGATAAGCTGCGAGCGAGGGTTCATAGAAGCAGAACTCGACAGACGGCCACACAGCGGCACAAACTCCTGAGGCTGGCCATGATCAGAATAGCAGCACATCGCCTCATGCCGTGGAAAAGTCGTACAAGAGATTTGCCCCTGACAGCAGCGTGCGTACTTGGAGCCAGATGCATCGGCATATGCCGCCTCTGCAGCAACAGCTCCCATCGATTTGATGTCTCGGAAGCGCTGCTGTGAGTGTTGGCGCCAGGCGACAGGCCTCCACTGCAATGTACCGCACTGCAACTTGGAGGGCGGGGGCGAGACAACTGCCAACATGCCGCTAGAGCAGTCTTTGCAAGCGACAAGAAACTCACTCCTCCAACGGGTCCACAACACGGTACAGTAGTGTGGTATCAGATCGCTGCACACCCTCACCACCTTTTCCTGCGAGGAGTTGGTGACGCTTCGGCACAAATAGTGCGCCGATGGGCTCTCCGAGCTCACTCGTAAGGCAGAGTCTAAAAGCACTGCACTTATGTCAGCGCATTCAGCCTATAACGGCCAGAGTTTGTGCGGCTGGCGGCGTCATACTGCCTGCGGCAGATGTAATTGCTGTTCCCAGCAAGGCGCCCGCGCAGGACAAGACACTGGTGTCGTTGCTGACGTGTGGCTCTGGCTGCGACGGCGCTGAATATGAAGCACAATAACTGTCAGTGAGTATCCCTGGCAGCCCTAGAAAACGCTGCCTCGCTCCTTGGCGGCGAAGGATGCAGCAAGCGGCATCTCGTGGGCCTAGTCTAACAAGAAGAGGTTCGTTGCCGCTGTGCATGCACACATGCGGCTCATCATCAAATGTGCGGTCTGCGTGTGTGCTGTCGGCAGCAGGCATGTCACGGGCAACGTTACACGCTCTCGTTGCGCGATCTGCAGCAACAATGTGCGTCCGATTGCCGCTAGCGATCAAAGTCGAGTGCTGTAGGGAGAGGACGTGCAGCAAGTAGCTCGTACCCTGTCGTTGCCATACTTCCGCCATGCGGCACGCCGTTGTGGCCAGACGAGTCTCCGTAGACCGCAGGGCTTGCAAGTTGTGGCGAGGCCCGCTGCCAGAGACGCTCGAGGCAGGAGGCAGGACTGTACAGTCAAACCTGGATAACGCAATATTCCGTAGGAACATAACCTCTTTAACGCTATACTTTCAGCTTCAACTTCTAAAATTCGGTGTGAACCTCTTACCTGCCTATATTGCCTTAACCTGATCAATTTATTGGCTAAACCAGGTATCAAAAAGATGCCTTCAGACCGCAAGACACCTGGCCTTTCAGTCTCTCAAAGGAAGGCCCTTCGTCAATATGCACAACAACACCCTCAGCTAACTCAAAAACAACTCCAGCAGTGGTTCTTGAACGAATTCCAGCGCAGTATAACGCAGCCTA